TCTAGAAATTATCATCACGTGAGTCAGCGAGATTTTAAATGCAACCATCAACATGTGCCCATTATTTCTTAAGTAACCAGATTTATTGTTGCAGTGCAGGTAGTTGTTGGGACTTTTTATTTCTATAAAGCTAACATTCCACAACTGTAATTCAGGATGCGCCGTGGAGGAAAGTAATGGGTAATTTACGAGGCAGTTGTAGAATATTGGACCAGTAATGTTTGCGGATCACTTGTCGCTGTGAGTGCCCAAATATCTACATTCTTCATTCTCATTCAAAACGTCATATAGAAGCTAAATGGTGAGATAAAAAGGCAAGAAAAATGACAGCAGCACAGAAGAAAGCAAGTGGAGTCCTCAAGGAGTGACTTAGAAACTTATATATATTCTGTGTAGAAAATATGATTATGTTGGTACACTAACTAACTAGTCCTGTTATGCTAACTTTTGTATTATAGGTAAACTAATATTATTGTCCTGTGTAGAAATGTTTATCATGTACTTCTAGCAATATTAAAATGTATAATTGTAGTTTGTTGTAACTTATAAGTTCAATGAACTTAAAATATCTATGAAGGTTGAAAAAGAGCGTGTAGGAGTCAGACGCGGGAGTGCATTGTCATCTTTGGGCATTCTGGTGGCTTAGGAGATGAACACTGGAAGTGTCTTTGAATCACGCACATTAGCTGGCAGTCTATTCCAAGTGACTGAAAACTTATTTAAGAAGTTGTACTGCATGTAAGACTGACATTGCTCCATAGCAACTAGGCTGTCATGATTTCTAAGATTTTAACCGATGACAGCGGTAGATTTAGTTATTGACTCGGAGGAGTGCATAAGCAGATTGGTTTGCTTGTAGTAAAATATTAGGTTTAGCTTAAGACGTCCTTTCCAGAGTGGTTCTAATCTTAGTCTGTCGCAACGTTCATAGTGTTAAATTACTATGGCATCTGATATCGAGATCTACGACTGAGTTGAGCTTGGCTAGTTTTCGCCCATTTACTTCAAGAGTTATGTCAAGGTTCCTGTTGACAATGCAAATCCAGCCGCATTTGTCAATGCCAAACTTCAGACAGGATTCGGTACACCATTGTGCGAGACGTTGTTTGCTTACCATATCGTTTAATTCACGACCGTAGCAGGGGTAAACCACTTTGAGGTCGCCAGTATATAGGAATGGTTTACTTCAGGTGAAGCAGTTACAAATGTTGTTAATGTATACTGTGTATAAAAATGGTCCCAGGACACAACCTCGCATGTGATCTGCCTAGGATGAGACAATACAGATCCGACTTTCGTTACTCATATCCCGTTGCTTAGAAATGGCTTTAACCAGCTCAGTAATGGATCGCGAATTCCACATGAGTACATCTTCTCAAGGAGAATACTGTGAGACAAAACGTCAAATGCCCTAGATATACCGAAGAAGAGAGCAACGACAAGCTTACATGCCTCGCGACTACTGGTGATGTAGTTGAGAAAGTCGAAGTAACAGGTAACGCAGGACCCGTTTTTGAGGAATCTGTGTTAAGAACTTGTGTCAAGATCTTCCCTAGGTATTTAGTCCGAAAACTGATTTTTAACAACTTTCTCCATGATTCACGAGGTATCTGGGGTTGCATTTATAGGTCAATATTTGCGAACGTTTATCTTATCAGCAAATTAGTAGTGTGGAATTATTAGGCTAGTTTTCCACTGGTTAGGGCAAGTGCTAGTATCCACAGATATTGAGAAGAATTTAGGAAGTACGCCCACTGTTTTCGGAAATTATAGAAGCAAGGCCATCCGGTTCCACGCTAGTGGAAGGTCTAAGGCTTTAAACTGCTTGCACTAATAATTGATTGATGAACACTATGATTCCGAGGAAAGAGCTAGTAAGGGGGCAGGTTTCACCAGGAATGCGCGTTTCTAAACTGAAGTTTGAAAACCACTCACTGAATATTTCACAAATAGCGGCGGGCTCATTGTAGATTACTTCGTCGTGAAGTAAATAGGGGATGTCCCTCGTCGACTGCATTCGTTTTTAATAAGTGTCGTCAAGTCATAAACTTTGGAGGTGCTTTCAAGTGCCCTTAATTCTTCGTCGAGGTCCTTTTGAGAGCGTTGGCGCTTGATAGATTCAAGAGACTCGTGGATTGAGTGCAGTAGTGATATATCCTTAGTGGAATAGAATTACTTCATCAACTTCCTTAAATTATTGCGGTATGCCCTTGGAATATATTCATATTGGTGTCTACTTAATTTCACTGCATTCTTAGGAGCAACAGTATCTAGACAGAGGATAACATTCATGTAAAATAGGGACATTACAGCCTCCAGGGAGCCAGTGGTAAAATAGTCATCCCACTGACAGAGTCGAATGAGTTCTTGAACTAATCCCCAGTCTGTATGTTTGTAACTACAGCATATCATACTCCCTGAATCTTGGTTGTTTCCTGTATGCATTGATGAGAAAGGCAGAGAGCAGAGTACCATTCTATGGTCACTACTGGAAAATCTGTTACCATCATAGGTGGAGACTGGGATTGTGTCATGACAAAACACAAGGTCCAACATGTTGTCACCAAGAGTAGGTGCCTGGACGTGTTGCTGCTATCCATAAAAATCAATAGTGGCAAGTAATTCGTCGAAGAGTTGGGAGGCCGGAACTGATTAACCAGTTGACGTTTGGAAGATTGAAGTCCCCTGCAGTATTTTGTAATTAGTACTAAACGATGAGGCGTATGCGAATGATTTAGCTAATAACTCATCAATTTTTTTGGTTGAGTACGGTGCTCGATGAACACAGCCCATGAGAAGTTTGTACTTATCTCCATGAAAGACGACCCGGAGTGAACCAGGTAACTCATTCAGTATTTCATCTTCCACTTTACTGATTACGAATAAGTTATGTATATATATATATATATAAGAGATCCTCCACCACGCTTGCAAACCCAATTTCACGGTGTACAGTGTGATCATCTATACCTGTATGCACATCAAGTATAGAGGATGAGCACCATGACTCATTATCGGAGCTACAATAGGCTTGGCGATCAATAATAATGTCCTAAGTTCAGATATCTTATTGATTAAGGAACGTGCATTAATTAATAATGTCGTGAATAAGCCATGTGATATTTCAAACTGGCTTAAAATATCACAATAACCTGGTTGTGTTTGTGCTTCAGCAGCCAAAGGGTTTAGGAATGATACGGGGGTCGGACTGGGTGTCTGTACATCGGAGTTAGAGTGCAACGAGGTGGTCCTAGGTGCCATGGTTAGTACCAGTGATTCGCCTAAAAAACTTACTGTGTGTTCCTGGATATACGGGCAGTAGTGGTTGGGGACGGGTTGTAGATTAAAAGTCGAAGATATTCGGCATCTTGTTTTTTATAGTCTCTAGATGCGCTGAGTGTGAGATATTTTAAACAATAGCCTGATGAGAAGAGGCTACATGCATCATCACCTCCGCAGCCGAGCAGCTAATGAGATTTTCTGGTTTATTTAGGTTGTCCAGAGAAATTTAGGGATGCTTTTTGAGAAAGCATACCATTGGGTCTTAATCCCAAAGCTTGTTCTCAGTTGAATCCAGAACTGCTTTCCGTGATTTTTGAGATTGGTAGTGTCATACTGTCAAATTTAGCTAATTATTTCTTAAGTTCATTTACTCGCCTCTAGATGTCTTTCACGAGGGCATTTCACTTGCGGAACTCAGTGTTCTCCAAGAGAACATCTTTCACATATATCAGAGGAGTGAGAGCTGCGCTCGAACCCTTTTGTCAGCTAGTAGTTGACACTGTATTACAGGGCGGTATTGCAGTTAAAACCAAACTTGAACTACTATCCAAAACAATTCTGTTTCTGTGTACGTGCTTTTAGATTTTTGGACCATAATTATAAGGATTATATCAGTAAGCAATAAAAGTATATTAGCGAAAACACGTGCAACAATTTCATCAATTTCGAACGTATTGCCTCTCCCTCTAACGTAAAATACACACAAGTGTGAATTGCACAGGCGATGTTGAGAGGTCATAAGTGGATATACAATCTACAAATAAATGGTTAGGCGCGCTCACTCCTGACCTTTCTCAGAAGTTTTACACAGTGTGATTCCGAACACAGTATGGAATAAACAAAATAATTGCTCCCTTGTTACTCTGATAGGACGTCAAATTTTTGGAACGAATCCGAAGACGGGTGGTGAGCGTCGGGTCACGGAAATGAACCGTATGATGAACGACGGAAGAGATTGAATCTTTTCACACTTAGATACTGCTGGCTTCGAAGCGAACTAATCACTGGTCATAAGATTGCAAGTGACATGAGTCACCCAAACGGGACATTCGGGAATTTTTAAGTGTGAATTTCCTCATGGCGATTCTCTAAGGATACAGCAACACAGAGCAACGATTACAGTGAGCTCTCATTTATTTCAGCCACGACTTTTCTGCTTTGGAATCCTCTACCAGCAGACATAGCTACTTCACTACATGTGGGAAGCCTTAGGCAGACACTAGCCAATAGTGGAGCGAAAGAACGACTGAACCCAAATGGCCTACCCCCTCAAAGCTCACATATTAGCTATAGGTATACACCTAAACCAGTGGTTTTACTACCTCACATTTTCATTTGCCCTACTCTTCTGATTTCCCTACCTGTCGATACTGTTATTATTCATACATGTGTGTATCATAATTCCGAATTTCAATAGCTATCTGAATTCACGTTTATTTAACTCTATATAATTTACAGTAATAATATTTATTATTGAAATATCTCTTTCCGACCACGCTGGAAGACTCACGAAGGAAAATCACAGCTCCATCCACAGAGGTGACTTGAACTTAACAAACCGTTAACAAAAAACTACACTAATATTTTCGGAATAATCCAACGGTACGACAACGGAATGCACTGCTCATAACCTCATTGAAGACCAACAACTCTTACACTACACAATAGTATTGGGGAAAAAGAAATTACATCAGCCTAGTTTTTCTGAAAAACGGAATATTGGATATTGGAAAATGTTTGTTTAATTGTGTCAAATCATTGCACATGAAAGTGTACGTTTACGAATTGCATATATACACTTAAGAAAACATTCCTCCTTATTCCAAGTGTTTCTAGTATTTTCGCATACTCAAAATCCACCACTGTCAACTTCTCGAAAACTTTTGTGCTAAAGCAGCAGGTAAGTCCACTTAGCAAGTCATTTATGACAAGTGGTGTGTGTTATTTTTATTTATTGAATTTGTATATTATGAAACAGTATATACTAAAAGTGTGAGCACGTGAATCATTCGGTATTCAAATTCGGTCGCAATATTATTTTTCCTCAAGCTTGACGCATGCCATGTGTTTACATTATGCTGACACAGTAATCAAATAATTTCATTTAATCATGGGAATATACTGTCCGTATTTTTCGCTAATACACCTAGATATATTGTATGTGACTGCTAAGCTGTTTGCCCATGTTTACAATAATTTTCTGTTTTTTGTCAGACTCTCGTGGTTTCCGAGTAAACTAATTACACGGACCTTAAAATCTTCTACACCTCACTCCAGAGACAATTTACGACTTTTTAACAACAACCAAAGTATGACTAATATCAAGGTATGTCACACCACATATTTTTGTATTGCACTTAACTCCCGTGAATATCTCATTTTACTCGATTTTTGTGCCGTACTTCGATTCAGAAAGAGCAACTAAAGCTGTCATTTGGTTGAAATACTGACTATAAGACGATCTACTGAGAAGACTAAAGTTATGCACACCCAGATACTGCATAATACGACAGACTTGTTAACAATCTACATCCTAAAGTAAAATCTAAATTACTCGAAATGACATTACAGTACTGCGTTGAGAGATGTAAGAAGAAAGGACACTCATTGAGTAGTAACCACGATGAAATTCGGTTTTTATTTTTAAGCTTAATATTTATGCGAACCGATGTCAGATGACGTAGTCGCCACTTCGTCAGTCGTTAGCCTCAAAAACGAAGTCAAAGCAAATTTATTCCAGGAAGAATCAAGCTCCGTAGGAATAAACTAGCAGTACTACCATCCTCATGACGCCATCTTTTCATTTCACTGGTTTATTCTCTTTCTCTTGGTGTTTATTTTCTTTTCCTCTCCATTTCATCTTTTCTCGATCTTACATACATACATATATATATATTCTATTTGCCTAAAATCTGACTTGCCAGTGTGTTTCCAATCTATCCAGAAAACTTCTTAGTCAAAAAGGGCTGCGAATTCAAGCGGTGGCACTATCCTGTAACACTTCATATATCATCCTCACTGTATTCAACAGAAGTGAGGTCTTCTCCACTATAATCTGCCACAGCACAAAAAGCGGTCCTCAAGAAGTCAGTAGATGTATACGAACTCATCACAATGGTATTAAATATAGCATATTCCACAGGATTTGTCCGCTTTAGGCCTACGTTAATCTTCTCTTCTAAATGTTTTTTTCTCTCACTTGATTATTTACTTCCCTATGTGTTGGTTGTCTTGCAGTCGGCAGATAGACTTCTTGGAATTTCAACCCATTGGTGACTATACGTTTACTGGTTACATTAACAACTTTCAAAGTCAACCCTGCGGCATGCATTTATAGGTGTACCAGTGTACGAACTAGAAAACTTTATCCCAGGATGCCTCTTGCAGGCAGAGATCTTTCATAAAAGAAAATAATTTTGGGATGTGTCGAAAATTTTGCCTTATAAAGATATGTGACTAGTAATTCACTTTTTAATTGCTTCGTCTCCGATTTTCATAACATTGCGTCGGTGTAGTAGTATAAAGCATGACAGTTTAAAGCAAATTAGGGCTATATTAGGGCTTATGTTGTTGACCCCATAACACTCAAAGTTGTCGACGGACAACATAAATTTCTGTGGGAAACATAGCAGACTAAGTAAGTACTCACCGACATTGTGGTATTATTATCTGATAATCACATAGCGAATTTCAAGGAAGCTCTGTGTGAATAAGAAATCCCTTCATGTCAGCGTTATTCTGTGTTTCTTGAAAACAAAGTCTCATGGACATTAACACTTTCTTCCACTTAATCTATTGTTTGTGTGGAAGATATTGTACAGAGATGAATTGAACTGATGTGTCTTCGTCTTACTATTGAGATAGCGCACATGAAATTAAACTTCCTTTAGGTAACAGCATTTAGGCAGTCCGAATGTTGGTATGTTGGGTAAAACACAAAGTAAAGTCGGATTACTTGTTCAAAGGGTGCACGTCATGTTTGCATTTCTGTCAGTGTAACTTTTTTCGACCAACTGAAGGGTAAAAATGTGTCAGATAGGCTGAAAATTCCTACTTTTTCAAGTAAGTATGCTTTAAAGATACTTCCTGTAATAAATTTTGTTACCTCCTGTTACTACATGTACCCTACTCCTTTGACTACTCCGGGTACAGGCCATCCGATATTGAAATAATCAGATAACAGCGCTTACTCACATGTAATACGATTGGAAAGATGACCAGTATAGACGAAGGTATTCAGTTTGAGTCTCAATTATTCATCAAGTATTATCGAGGAATTCCAGATCCCAAGACTCCAAAGTCTCGTCAAATCATTTTATAGATTCCAGGATTGTGAGGCAAGACGAACAAACCGGAATGACACACGGGACTGAGATTTCAGATGTTTCATGCATGTGTATTTTCTAATTTCTATTCTTATAATTAGGTCGGTATTATTGGAGGTTCCGGATTCGATGATCCAAATTTATTCAAACAAGTGAAAGTGACAGAGGTTACCACCCAGTTTGGGAATCCTTCAGACGTTCTAACCGAAGGTTTTATTGGAGATGTTCCATGTGTTATACTTCCCAGGTAACTGTTTTTCACTTCTCAAAAGTCCCTAATAATATGTTGTACTAAACCCATTAATTCAATGAAGATGTCCATAAAGGATTTGAAAGACTTATTAGTGGACAAAGAATATTCTTTCCGATAAATTCTTCATCAAGTTCCACATTCATATGGCAGTAGCGATTGAAGAAATGTTGTTATTAACAACATCAATGTCTTAAACTGCGTCGAATCAATAGTATGGACAGATTAAATTTCGAAAGCACCAGCACGATATAATACTCATCAATAAATTACTAAGTTAAATATCAGATAGATTAGGTAGAGTGACGCAGAATTTATGCATTTACATATGGCTGAACATAGATCCAGCGCAACAACAATGGTTTCACCTGTTTAATTTGCACTCAGAGCTTTGATTGAATTAAGGGAATTGCAGTGGCCTCTGATGTTTGCAGTGTTCGATATGCAGAGGCCTTCGGTGGATCATTCGATACCCAATAGGTAGTAGAGAAAGACTCTTCAATACTAGCTTTGTGGCCTGTTTGGATGAGGTGATCCAGTATAGAACTCTTGAGGGTGTTAATCACACTGGTAGGTGTGTCTGAGCACGAAACAATAGGTTCTTAGAGAAACAGTCAATTTAACTGGTTCCATAGAAGCAGTTGAATTGACACTTACTTCATCTTTCAGTTTCAAAATCTCAATCGGTTGTGTGGAAAATTTAAGCTGCAGCTTACGTGCATTAAACGTTCTTTGAGTTGATTTTCTCGACTTGTTGATTGCTATTTCACTTGACAGTGGTTGTATACATAGAGGTGTCTTGATTATGTGTTTAGTGACGGAGTTTTCAGGGTAGTTGTTGTCGATTAACCTGCCTATTGTGATTTAAAACATTAATGTTGCTAGGAACAAATTTTAAAAAATATTATTTCTGTCATATAAATCACGAATTTGTCGAAAATAATATTCTTTTTTCATTAATCCGTTTTATAATCACATAAGTTTGTTGATTTTTAGTGGTCAATTGCTTAGCTTCTGCATCTTTTGACCGCCTAGGTGAAATTTGTCAAACTACTGAATGTTTCGATGGTGTTTTCATAATCCGCAAAGTCCTATTTGGAACTAGCGATCATAGACACATATCTGAATTTACCTGGTATTTAGGTCTTCTTAGTGTGAAGCATATTTTTTTAGTCTCGGTTACTGACTGTATACTACAGATTTTACTCCCGTTCTGCATAATATCAAAGCAATACTCCTTATTTCTTGGAAATCGAAACATAACTATCAGTAATAGAGAAGATTTGTAGCTCAGGTGGATGATTTGCAATTGAAAGTGTTCTCTGAGCTGGTTGGTTTAGTTGCGAAGCTTTCGTCGTCCTTATGTAAAGATAGGTACCAGGAGACGCAATTACATCACGCATGAAGAAATCTAAATCATTTCACTTTGTGCTAAATATGACGCTGAAGATGTTGTCCAGAAGGACTACGAAAGCTTCACAACTAAACCAACCAGCTCAGAGAACACTTTTAATTGCAAGTAACTAACAGTAGTAAGTTGCATTATTGTGTTCACAACTTGTTGGAGAAATCTTGATAAAAGCGCCAGCTGAGGATCAAAGTAATTTCAAGACACTTTTTCATGACAAAGTACTTGGTGAAGCTACTTTGTTAGCAGCCTAAAAGGTGGTCACTGGCCAGAAATACCTCCGCTGTGGTATACAAATTCGTGTACTGGATTTTCACATAATGATTTTCGATTTTGAACTTGTCTCGCTTACTGCGGCGTAGGGTTGTGTCTGTAGCAATCACTTGACTTATGTTCTGCTCGTTGTCAAGTTCCCGATTATGCAATATTTTTTGGACTTAGTTAATATCTCATTGGAACTGCTTTTTGCCTATAAACAATACCGAACTTTACCTGTTTGATTTAGGTGTAGATGTATTTTCAAGTCACTTTCATTATCTCTTTTTGCAGACATGGAAAGAAACACTTGATATTACCCAGTGAAGTTAACTATCGGGCGAATATATGGGCACTGAAAGAGGCTGGATGTACTCACATTTTAGCCACTTGTGCTTGTGGTAGTTTACAGGAGCACGCTCAACCAGGGGACTTCTTGGTTCTCGATCAGTTTTTTGACAGAACTACCGGCCGAGAGGTTTCATTTTATGGTAGCCGACCAGGTGCAATAAAAGGAGTCCTACACATGCCTATGGCGGATCCGTTCTGTGAAGAAACACGCCAGGTGATCACTTCATTTGTTTTATGTTATTAGCCACAATAGACAGACATCCAGTGGATTTTCTTTGTTTGCAAAAAAACAGTGAATCTATGAAGTAAATGCGTATAAGTTTATTTCTATGCAGTGCAAGTTGTTATACATAATTTCTGTATATCAGCTTTGTTAGGATAAATTACATCAAAGCTTTACAAGAAAATCTGATGACTTTACTCACTAAGGGTTGATGCAAGTGTTGTGGCATTTATTCATCAACTAAACTGCTTCAACAGTTCCACCAAGTACAGCTTTTTGCTGTTCAGAAACATTTTCCAAAAGCTATAGGGAAAACACCCAAAACTGTGTTGAGGTTTTATCTGTGAAAATCAAAACAACCTATACAACTCTGGCTGTAACATCAGAAACCGATACATTACTATAATTCTGTCGGCCCCGAGATTTCTTCATTTCCTGGATTGTGTTATTTTCGTATCATTATTGACCAGTAACTCATTGAATGTTAAAAAATACAAGGCCTTTCGTCTCTGTCATGCAATATAATAACACATTCCATTAGATAAGAATTTACTAAAAAGACAATACCAAGACTTCTACCTTCATGGAGTGCTAATTTTCATTGTGTGTTGGAAGGCGAAATCTTCACTGTATTCTGAGCAATCTAGACGGAGCAACATTAGATGCATATCTTAATATAGTCCTAAAATGTTTGAAGAAAAGCAGTCAAAGCAAAGTTATTCTCAATACCTCACTGTGCAGGATGCAACGTTATTTTGCGAAACGCTTGGACTATACTAAGGTATTCTTATAAATGTCCAGCCAGAACTAATGCTGGAAATCTTCCAGCGAAGTTTATTTATCTAATAGTCAACGAAATATTGAATTGTCACTGTACTACTTTTCACGACTGAAGTCTGCAGTCGTTGGGAAAATAATTCAGTGCAACAGTTGAGCGTGTGCCAGCAAAATTATACACTTTGATCTTATTAGTAAACATTAATTCTGATATGAAAAGAGAGAGTCTATCGATCTCAACTGCAGCTGAATAGGTAACTCTATCCGCTATTGTGTACTATGCTATGAACAGACAATATAAGTTTCAATTTACAAGTTGTGTAATGGGGAAATGATTTTATGTTTTTTCTGCTTTAGGTTTTAATTGAAGCCGCCAAGAACCTATCCTTCGATGTCTATGACCGAGATAGCGGGAAGCCTGAGCCTAAACATCCATGTGTACATACCAAAGGTTCCCTAGTCACCATCAACGGTCCACGGTTTTCTACTCGTTTCGAATCGAAGGTATTCCGCAGTTGGGGTTTGGATTTAGTCGGTATGACACTAGTGCCTGAGGTTTCATTAGCTCGTGAAGCAGGTCTGAGTTATGCATCTCTGGCCATTGTAACAGACTATGATTGCTGGAAAGCAGATGAAGCTCATGTGAGTAAAACTTTTAGCATTTTAATCATTTGTGATTTGTAAACTGTTCTGAATAATGAACATAATCTGTGATTCTAAAAATGGGAGGAATTGTTAAAATTCTACACTTTTCTTAATTTTAAGAGATCTGTCCTCTTAATGAATACACAGTTGAAGCTAATGAAATTCTACAGGCCGAATTGTATGTTTAGCCTTTGTTTAGCGTTTCCTGATTTTCAGTGGTTATTGACGCTGATATGTTTTGAAGATATACACCCTCATAGGTCTGGATTTGATCACCCTGATGTAGCTGGCTAGTTCTTCGACGCATAAATGGAATTTTATTACAAGGAACCATAGGGGAAAATGTAACTTCATGCGGGGAAGAAGATTTAACCGTTTGGCATCAATTCCAATCAACTTCAAGTGCACAAGTACACTTTGTCATCATAGTATGAAAGGGGAGTTTTGTTTAAGGTAATCATGAGGTGGTGTGGTTAAGTTTACCAGTAGAGTAGAAAAACTGTTCTGCACTTATGAACTTCGCCTCATGTATATCAGTTAGTTACATACCAGTTTGTGAAGGATAAGAGATTGAATGTTAAGCGGAGATGTTGACAAAATTCTGAATCTCCATCTCATCATCAAAGAACAACTTCATTGATAGCTTGTTTGTAATGGTAGTGATAAGGGGATGAACAGCATTGTATTGACTCTAAATTTAGGAATACCGAGTAAAGACTCGAATGCCTTAAAAGTTACACTTATTTGTCAGGTTGAGTTAACTTAGACGAGCTGGTCACCGGTGTGATTTTGATGCATGCATATGGCACCTTTAGTTAGATAATTCTAGGTAGATTCGACTGTGAGTATGACTGACTTTGTATGCTGAGTGTTTCTAAACAAATTGCACACAGTAATTATCAACCTGGTGTTTTGTGTAAGTTTAAAATATGTTGCGAATTGCCTTTGGATCTGTGTCCTATTCAACGTCCGGAAGGAATATTAGATAATCAGAATTTGTAGTTTTTCTATATATGTGGATTATATACACACTGTAACTAGCACAAAAATACGTTCGAATAGGCCATAATCATGCGTTTAGCATCTGGCGTGCTCTTACATTGTTAGCAGTTTTATCTAAAATATATGTAATTATTAGTAAACATCTTGAATCTATTGAAAAAGTGCCAGCGACTTATTAACCAATGTAATGTAAGATATACATTTTGGAAATAACATAACAGACCTAAACACCTTTTGAATACAATCATCACTTATATGTTTTTCTTCTTTTTTTTATCAGGTTTCTGTTGATATTGTTTTACGGGAATTTGGTAAAAGTATAGAAAAAGTTAAAAAGGTTGTACTCGAAGCGGTGAGATTAATTGGTACTCGTGATTGGACTAAAACTATTGAGGCCAACCAGGTAATTTTATTGTTGGACCATTTTATAAAAATATTCATTCGCCTATCACTTGTTAACCATGGTATATTATATTTATTACCACACATACATATGCAATTCATATGAACTGTGATCAAGATTTGACAGTGCGTCGGTGGCACAGTGGTTAGGACTCTCGCCGACCATGCACATGGTCTGAGGTTCGATCCCCTGCCGACGCAGACCCGATATCTATGGTCGGCCTGCAAAATTTGGGCTACTGATATCACATACTTAAAATTCCATACCTGTACCAAAAAATACGGTGTGGAATCAAGCTGTAATCAAAAAAAAGAATAGTTCCAAAATAATTGGCCGCCGAGTTTAAAGTAGACATAGGTAAACATTATATTTGAAAAATCTGATCGGGACTGAAGCCAGTCATTCTAAGGTTTAATTCAGTAAATTAATCGAAATTAAAGTAACAGAAGTTTCTATATATAAAAAGGACATCTCTTGTTTTTAAGTACTTTGTCCAGTCATGCGAGTCATGAAACAATCATACAAATATATAATAAACACAATTGCATGAATTGTGATCAAAATTTGACCTCAAACTTACAAATATTATGAATTGAAAGTCTATATAAACAAAAAATATTCTTTTCAATAATTTCTCCTCTTCAGTTTCTTACAATTATAAAAAATAATATTTACTGTCGTTACAATAATGGCCAGTTATGCGGTGGATACATTTTTTGTACGTAGAATAACAGATTAGTTATGGGGTGTCAAGATAAATAGGCGTATTTGTATGACAAACATCGTGCTAGGCTGAAATCGATTACACAATATTGTAAAATGGGAGACAATGGTGGTGATTAGCAATAATAGATTCGTAGAACGTGCCTCCCATTTTACAATATTTTGTAATCGATTTCAGCCTAGCACGACGTTTGTCACACAAATACGACTATTTATTTTGACACCCCATAACTAATCTGTTATTCTACATACAAAAAATGTATCCGCCGCATAACTGGCCATTATTGTAACGACAATAAATATTATATTTTATAATTGTAGGAACCTGAAGAGGAGAAATTATTGAAAAGAATATTCTTCGCTCAAATTGACTTTTAATCCATTATATGTGAATATTTCACACTATAAAATCTTACAAATATTAGTCCACATTTGTTGTTAAACACTGTAAAGAGTGGGTGATGTTTCCATCAGATTTTTATTGATTACGTTCGACTAAAGTTCATGGTCGTAAATAAGTGAATATGATATATATATATATATATATATATATATGTACATGCGGCAACAATGGTGTGTGTATGGAGAAACCATTGTAAATCATTTGTTAGCCTCTCCGTACAAAGATCAAATATGATAGATTAGTGATATTAGATGGTTGGAGGCAATCGGCGGGAAGCCTTGGACCTAGGTTTCGTGCTAGTTGGCACTCGTCAGCAAGGCATGTCTGCAATCTTGAAGGAACTCACGTCCCTTCTGAGATTCGAACCCACGTCACCCAGTGAGTACTGCAGTCAGAGACGTTACCACTGAGCTATTCGGGCTCGCGATTGACCTCCTGTAGGACTGTAGTGGATATTTTGATTTGACTCTAGTACCTAATGTGATGTGTCTAGTCCTCTCTTTGGTGCAGACTGTGCACCGTGATGGCGAGCTACCTAGAATGGTGGCCGCATTACAACCTGATTGATAGAATTCAGTCTACACCAAAGAGAGGACTAGACACATCACACTAGTTACTAGTGTCAAATTAAAATGATAGATTAGTGATACAGATCCATTTTTACTTACTCGTCAGGACTTTACTGTTACAAGTTGATTGAGTGACTGAACAGCTAACCAAAATGAATTACTGACTGATTGACTGGCCGAAATGATGAGCAACTTGACAAAGTCATTAGTCAATTGAAATTGCCACTCATTCAAATAGTACACATAGAATCAGCAAAAGTGAATCTAATGAAACCACGGTGGACTAAGACCAACTGTAGATTCATAAGGACTTTCAGGATCTGAAATACATTTTGATTACCTCTGAATGCAATACAGAGTCAGAGCAGGTCTTCTTGGATGGGTCATTTTCTCCTCTCATTTTTTTTCAATATATATTTATTTTAGAAAGACAGTTGCAGCGAAGAAAATTTTCTTTTGGACTGTACATTCGTGTATTTAAAATTATTGGGTGGGAAAGTTCCAGCATAATTTCCGGTTAAGGGTCAAATTATTAAAATTACAATTAGGAATTAAAATGACATAATAAACAGGGGAGACGGATGCAACTCAAACAAAGAAGCATCATAATTATTGGGAAGATTTTCACATGTTGTGTGATTAGGGGTTAGAAATGTAGAAATAGCAAAATAGACACGATATTTGGGTAAAATATCTAGTGGGATCATAACTAATGTGACTATTAATTGTTTATGCAATTAGGGATTAAATATGTAGAAATAGTAAAATGACAAATTAGACAGGAAGTTCGGATATGAAAATATGGTAGTGTAAATAGGGATTAAGAAAAAATTAAAAATAAGATGAATTAAGTGGAAATTTGGATAAGAAAAGCAATGGGATAGTCACTATTAAAAGAAGTACCTGTTTATGGTGGTCATGGCAGGGACAAGGGTTGGACGTATTCATTCTGTATTCATAGTGTGGCTTTAAGCTTTTGGATGGCTAGTGCCTCGGCTATGCCCAGGTTACTTGATTTTACTCCCTTTGGTAGGTTTGATCGAATCTTGTTTATTATTTTGAAGGATTTTTCGAATGGCGCTGAATGTCCTGAATTGAGCAGATGTTTTGTCACTGAACTATATACACGTGTTCGTTCTCCTTTTACTAGCCAGGCTGGATAGTGTTAACGAGCGCATTTTTCAAGTTGGCGCATTTCATTTTCTCTCTGCATGTAATTAACTACATATGATAAATTAATTAAATAATTTATGTTTCATTACTTACAGTTACTAGTTCAAAACTCTCGTCAAGATTTGGCTCATGCGAAAGACTCGGACAAATAAACGATATCGTATGAACAACTGACTGCTAGTACCATTTAGTTAATATAGTACAGAAAATGATGATTTGACTTTTTCACATATTCTAACGACGAAAATTATGTATTCCTAATTAATTTGAAAAATCTCTTTGTTTTGAACATTAATTTCTAACGCAGTTTGTTTTCGTTTGCTAAAATACTGTATATCTGAATAAATTATATGAAAAGACGAATCGTGAATAAAAACAGAATGTAATATGGCGCACTTCACTGTATTGTAGCCGGGTTACTTGTTAAATATTGTGATGAAAGATTTAATAAATGCTAAGTTATCTCAAAAACAATTTTTAACTTCGTTTATGCGTCAATACAACTTTCGCAATGAGCAGATTTCCTTGTTTGAAGTAGACCACCACGTAAAGCAATAATAATCTGGTCGTGCTGCATATCTGTTCAACAGAACTGACTAACGATTGATTCATAAAGTTTTCTAAGTATGTGTAAATAAATAAAGAGACAGGTCATAGAAATTGGGCGTAACTTTGCTGGTCTTCAGCTCTCCTTACTGACATGAAGAGTGAACTAGTCTGTAAGCTTAGCCATATCATTCCAGGAGGCTGTGTGTTTCCTACTTGAGAGGAATGTAATATTCATTTTAGTCGTCATAGTAAATCAGTGAAATCGTGTGACTTTCGACTGGAATGTGTACGATTATTTCGGATCACTTAGTGTAGAATTAGTCTTTCCAGTTGAAGGAGATAGTTGCTCCAGAAAGAGTGGTAATATTGACTACTCGAATTTATGACGACTAAATTTAGTCAACAAGCAACTAATGGTAGAAGTGATTATAGAAACACAGTAACAATTGAACTGCCCTGACTGACGTACACGTGTCCATGGAGAAAAGGTGATCGATCTCACCTACTCGATTCGGTGAAATTCTACACATATTTATTTATTTTAATGCCTATCAAAAGTATTGGAGGATTAGAAGTTAGTCTACAATGCGGTTTGGATTTCAAAGTTTAACTCATCCAGTAAACGTGATTCGACACAACATCGATATTCATTTAGATTCTGTGCGGAGTAGCACTGGATTACTCCGATCAACGTGGAACACATACCGTGCAAAATAATCGTTGCATTGTGCATTTTAACGGACAGTCTTCCAATTTAATAAATGAATGAATGAATGATAGATTTATTACCTCGATGAAGAACGTTGCCTTCGATGTTGATTTCGTTGTTTTATACAACAGCTGTAAGAATAATAGTACGATTCTGACTGATCATCTTGAGTCGATCTGACTATTGTCCTGAGCCGTTAAATCAGACACTAATGAGTAATTTAATTGCTACAGTTTTCTTGTATTGTGGACACTGCAAACAACTAAGCTTTCATTTCCAATGGAAGAAATGGTGTTTCGAGAGAGTTAAATATGCATATACATCAGTCTGCTAATAACTGATAGACCTTCTCCAGTTAGGAGCTGCTGCTAGCATCCAATATGATGTTTCAATAGTTACATTCTTGACTCATCAAGCGATTAATGTAGAGCCGTTCTGTAGTGGAATCGTAGGTCTGCACTTCTAAGTGGATCCATACAATGACGAAGAGACTATACACTATGGTCTGGTTTCCAGTGGTTCTCCAAATGATTCCGGTCTACGACAACACTTACTCTCTAACCAAATAACTTCTTACATACCTTACATCCGAGACTGGATTATGACCGGAGACGTAGATGAGTTATCTGGAAATGCGATGAGGTGCAAGTGAAAATCAATTACTCTGGAGCAGAGACAATAAATTAAGGTACGAAACGAATCTCTATCAAAAGAGGGGAAACAAGATCTTGAATAAAACCTAAAGATGCAGTGTGTTGACCATCACAGTCATGAGATATTGCAGCATATTACACTGGATGCGACTGGTAACTGCTTCAGTCAAGTGAATTTGACGAATATATAATCCAAGGAATAGATTATTCGGTATAGAACAGATAATTTCAAATACTCTTCTGGAGTACAATTGATGTCCACTGCCTTTTAAGTATACAGCTATTCATTGTTTGGATTTGTTCTTCAATCAACCTTGATGAAATGACATGCATATTTTTAAACCCCATGAATCTCAGCAGAAGCAAGTGAAGTGAATGAAGTAGTGCCTGAATCTTTCTGTCTTGCTTGCAGAATTGGATGAGTGTGCTGATTAACCCATAGAGAATTTTGCAAGGAAGAACACTTCAACCTGCTGCATTTGAAGACACAGTAGATAAAATAAGAGTAGATCAGCAGTATGAAACCACAACAGATGAAGATCAATTAAAGGTCTTAAACAGTATGTGGAGTAAATCCACCTCACTATTAACATAATTTGCTGCATTACAAATTAATCTCATGCATCTATTCTTAGCGTCCCTTATATAGAAGTCAGCTGTGGTCGAAATCTTACGATATTTTATACTATATACTTCTAAAGCTAAGCTATGCAGGAGTAGATTATGACATAACGAACTATTACTCTCTAGACACACTGTTTGATGGGTAACTGCGTGAACCATCTGCTTCAAAGTGAACAGCGTTCGTGGAGGGCATCTATTTACATTCTGCCATTCAAGTTACGCTGGTTGAACCATTCGTATTGCACGTAGTATGAGTTGATTCGACAAAGAAAGCTTCCGTTATCAATCTCTCCATCCATCGTGCCACATTGAATTTTAAAAATATCATCTTGTCCGATCCTATTCTATGGTTGTGTGTAACTGCATCTAGTGCTCTAGCTAAGCTGTTTTCTAGATTTACTAGCGTATTAGAGTCAACTTACCTAGATTTTCGTGCGCTGATTACCCAACCGCTTCCATTCTACAACACTGGTTTATGTATTTAACCTCTACAGGGGCTGTTAACCGACATTATTTGTTTCTAAGTGGGTCTGCCACTTCTCTTCCTACATTTTTAAGAATTCTACGTAAAATTGCTGAGATTTCTTCTCTGTATGGAAGCACTACCGATGTTTCAAATTCCCCACTGTTGGTATTATCGTCTTTCTGTACGTCTATCATGCATATCGACCTTATTGTGTTAATTTCATTTTTATAATTTCCTAAATACTTCCTGATTTATATGTCGGAGTAATTTTTACGCTTTAAAGCTTCTCCTATACGTCCTACTTCCCACCTTAGATTTTTCGGTACAATTTAGTTTTCAGCCCTATTTTTTATAAATCTAACAGAATCCAAATATCGGTCTGAATGTGTATGTTTTCTGTAAAATCTAGTGCTTAGCTTCGTATCTTTCCTTTTTATGATGCATTCTAACATTGGACGCCCTCCTTTATGTTTGTCTAACTGAACTGAATTTCCTCTACCTTCGAATTGAGTTGTGTTCGGAAAATCTATTTATATCTTTTACTTTTGGTCCTGTGAGTGTGTCATCTACATAACTTGATCATACCTTGGGATAGGGCTGAGAGATCCAACCTCTAACTTTTCCCATCTCTCCATAACCTTACCAACTATTATCCGAAATATCGGTAACCCCATGACAACTCCCTCAATTCGGTTACATATTTTTCTTTGGAATTTAAATACTGTAAAAGTCAGGCATATCCTCACTCCTAATATAATATTTTCTTCTCCCAGGTACTCGGTGAAAAATCACTGGGTTTCTAACCGCTTCTATAGCGATATTTACTGGCATTTGTGTATATAAGCTGATAACTTCGAAAATAACAATTTTTTGCGCATCATATAGTTTTAAATTATTCAATCTGTGTTTCACTTCGTAAGAATTAGTGAATCTAGGCTTCAGCTGGTTCCTAACCGGATTGAATAACATATCTAAACACTTAGGCTACTGATAAGTAGGGAAATTTCTAAAATTAACTTTGTGTCTAATAAGATATCCTGGCTTATAAACCTTAATAACACTCATACATCCTACCAGGATTATTAGTTTCCTGTATGATGAAAACCGATTTAGACTCACTTAGAAACAGCTTCATTTGTCCAATGTTGATTTCAGAACTTTATTCATGAAATTGTTCATTGATTTCTTAATTTATCCAGACGGTCCTATGTATTTATGGGTATTGACTTCTGCAAATAGCCCGTGCTGTCTAACACTACAGCTAAATTACCGTTATCTGATTTAATAGTTACTGTATCCTTGTTTCGGTCTCGTCAGGTAAGGTTTCCCTCTTTTTTGGCATGTAAGCATCGGTGTACACCGTGTTTGTACTTCATCTGCAGTTGTTTTATCTATCCTATTTGTTGCTATTTCTATTCATGCTATGACATCCTCAGGTTTCAGTTTATCTACTGCTACACTGAAAGCTGTGCCATTACAATTGATATGATAATGATCGATAAATTTTGCTTGTAACGTCATCCAGTAAAGGTAATACTCTTCCACTCTGTGGTGTATCCGATAAACAGATTATTATGGAATTACACAATACCACTGTACCCAAATTTTACACGTATATTAACACATGGCTTAAGTTTTCATGCATGTTCATTCATGCTTCGGCAATGTATAGATGAACAAAATCAAAACTTTCAGAATGAATGAATTCAGTTCTCTAGATAACTTGAAAAGATGAATCATATGGGGTTAAACAACCTAACTCAAGAAAATATTCACAAATAAAAGACTGTGCATTCCTGTGTTCTCTTTTTGCATCAACAAAATTGAGTAACGCTCACCTGAGCGTTTATGCAAAACTCACTCACAGATTTCAGCATAATCAGCTCCATCGGAGTATGTGAAAGAATAGGGGCAATGTAAGTGGATACAAGCGCTGGTTTATCCTTCACATGCTAACGAGCTATACTCGAGAATATCATGTATACGTTAGCGGCCTAGGAAGTACATTTAGTACAATTGGATAGGGAACTTTTATGCAATACAGCAGTGATGTTACTTGTAAATACTGAACTCATTGTCAGTATTTTGTTTCGGTACTGTCATTTGGCTGAGAGAGAAATTTGTTTCTTAGTGTTCCCCTCAATGAACACTCCATGGTATCCCGTATCTAACTGTTATGTAGGGATTTCCGAGTTCCTTGTCATCTATATCTTTAGGGCAGTTTTTGAAAAGTCGACCATATAGAGAATGGATAATAATTATCTTTCTGCATATTATCAAACAGCAGAAAATAAATGAGATATTTGGTCATTTAAAAACTAAGTGCGAAAATTAATTCAACATATCAATAACATATTTCTCGGGACAAGATGGGAAAGCTGTTTCCTTGGTGACTGATTTTAGGCTTTGTTTAAATTTCATGATGATATTTTCCTTTCTCTTCTCTGAGACTGTATTGGCGTAGTGTTCG